CCAAGATAAGGACTAAAATGGTTTTTCTTTCTTGCTATTGTTTCTAACATATTTATAAGATAATTTCTTTGTTGCTTTGCATGTCCCTCCCCCACAATATAACCCCTGTTTTCACTGTATGTGATGTTGGTATAATTTGGGGAGGGCAAGGGAAAAAACAAATTGTTTAAATAGGGATACAGGTGGACCCATTGCAACAATAAGATGTACAAGACGTTATGTAGAAAAACGAACTTTGGCGGGGGGGGGGGGGGGGGTCGGGGGAGTGGAGGAGGGACTAGGGCAGTGGGGGGAGTATGGGAAGGGATGGGAAGGGGAAACAAAGGAGGAGGCAACAATGCTTGATAAGAAATGTACTCATTACCTTGCTCATGTAATTGTAACCCCTTTGTATGGTATTTTCACAATACAAAACTTATTAATAAAAAAATCTTAAATAAAGAAAGCAAGAATGAAAGAAGGAAGGAGAAGAAAGAAGGATGAAGAAGAAAGGAATCTGGAAGCTACCTCTTTCAGCAGTGGCAGAATTAGGGTTCTGTACAGTTTTGTGGGCAAGAGGTGACAGTGAGAATATTAGGAGTACTATCAGCTAAGCACTATTCTAGGGGAAAATTCAGGTTGCTGGGTCTCCTGAATGGAATAGGTATGGGGCTAGGGGATTCTGGTGTGGGGCCCGCTCTCCAAAGCTACCACAGGGCTGAAAGCTGCACAGGACAGATGGTGAATCGCAAGGCCCTAGACTCATGCCTTACTTTCCCAAAATAACCAGCACCCCTTCCTGGGTGAGGGGTGGAAACTGATAAAAGAAAGTAAGAGGAATTATTCAAGACTCCAAGACTTGCACTGGTATGGGGCTCAGCAGTTAGAAAGCACACAGACCTTCTTGGAAGAGGGGAGCCCAGGTGAGGGGTCTTTCTGAACTAATGCAGTGTGTTCTCCTACGAGCAGACAGCCACACAGGGTGGCAACACTGCACTGGACATCTAACTGGGACACACAAATGGCTGAACAAGATCCCACTTGCCTGCAAATTTCCCTCAGAAGGTAAAAGGCAGCTGAGTTTTCTCATCCACCTGAACCCTTAAGGATGGAGGCATAAATGGTAACTGGTACTGAACCATATTCCCAGGCTTTTCACTAAGAAAGGCTACCAGGCAGAACCCTGGGCTGAGGACCAGGAGAATATAGCTCAGAATCACACAGAGGAAGGGCTGAATGTGAGATGGGCCTGCAGCACCATTCTGTTTGGTGACTTCTGAGGTAAATACTATTTGCACCGGATAAGGCTCTGAAAGTCACTGATGTGTCAAACACAAATTAGGAATCAGGCAGATGCTGGGGATGAAGATAGAGCAGAGCTGTAGAGATGGGGACAGCAGATGCTCACCAGCAGCTTGGAACAGCCTGGGTCAGAGAGTAAGGAAACAACCCCAGGATACCTGGTGGCAGGGGCCTGGCCAAAGCCTGCCACCATATCCCAGCCTGCCACCGAGCATCAAATAAGGTCCTGGAGTTGGAGCATAGCTCAGTGGTGGGCATTTGCTCAGCTTGCATAAGGTCCATTACAAAGGGAAACAAAATAGAGCTAATATGCATGGGGTAGAAGCAAACTAAATATACTTGAAAATCAAGCCACTAAAATCTCTTTTGCCATCTGAGTAGAGGTAAGTCATAAACCCTGTTCTGAGAACTAGTAAAGAAAGACAAGCCTCTAGCATCTGTCCCCACTTTCCCAATGTGCTAGAGCTCATGAATCAAACAGCTTGTGGCAACACTTTGCTTTATACAGGACTTGTGGCTGCCAACTGCAAAGGGAAGGCAGAAGTGAAAAAAATGCACTTATGACTTTGGTGAAAAGCACACTTTGGTTTTAATGCTATGTCTACATGGGAGGGCGTAGGGGGAGTCCTGGCTCTCCAGGCCCCAGCTTCCAGAAAACACAGCCCCAGCGCAGGATATGGGAAGACAAGAGGTCCACATTAGACACTATTTAGGATACAAGGAGTGTTTTCAAGGTCAAGACATAACACAGAGTGCAGACTGCTTTCTTAGGAAGGAAACTGAGGCTGGTCCAAGCAATATCTCAAATGGACAGAATGACCTGCTGCACTCACACTGGGGATTCCCCAAGGACAAGATGATTTCATATAGAGTCAAACTAAATCTTGGAATGATCAAAAGCATTTGTCAATTGAGTGCCATTTGATGGCATGGATTTTTTTTTATCCTTCATTCTTTTGTTGATCGTGGGGCCTGAACTCTGGGCCTGGGCACTGTCCTTCAGCTCTTCAGCTCAAGGCTAGCGCTCTACCATCGGAGCCACAGCAGCACTTTGGCTTTTTCTGCTTATGTGGTGCTGAGGAATCGAACCCAGACTTTATGAATATAAGGCAAGCACTCTACCACTGAGCCACCTTCCTAGCTCCCATTCTTTTTTTTTTTTTTTTAATTTTTTTATTGTAAAGGTACTGTACAAAAGGGTTACAGTCACATGAGTAAGGTAATGAGTATATTTCCTATCGAGCATTTTTACCCCCTCCTTTGTTTTTTTTCCTACCACCCTGATCCTTCATTATTTTCCTTTTCTTTTTTGCTTATTTGGACAAAAGAGAATCTTCTCCATAAAAACTTCACAGATAAAAGTGGGACGAGGATTTTTCTTTGAGCCCACAGGGAAGGTGCCAGGTAAGATCAAAGCCTGGCCTATGGAAATATAGGAGTGTAGTGCTAGTGTAATCACAGTTTTTGGTGATGGGCATGGTATAAATTTATCCAAAATGAAAAGCTTAAAGGAAAAGATGAAATAAATGGTCCCTCAGCATATCCTGAGAAGAGATACATGAAGGCAAGGCATGATGTAGGTTATGAGAGAAAGAGAAGATGCACGTTCCAGGAAGCACGTAGCCACCCAAAATGCAGTGTGCCCATCACCCACCTCCTGCTTCTTCTGAGAGATGTTGAGCATGTTCAGTGCAAAGATGGCCTCCCGGGCGCCGACATAGAGCATATCCTTGTACTCATTCAGCAGCAGCTCTGAGTAGTTGAAGATGCCTGGCTCATGAAACTGCACCAGATCTACCTCTGAGGGAAAAAGGGGACCCAGCAGAGACAAAGAAGAGAAGACAGACCCAAGATGTCATTTTTAATTATGGCTGCTGGCTAAGGACTTTCAAGCTGCACAGGAAGAGCAAGAGCCTTGCAAGGAAGAGCTACAATGTTCAACAAGCATGTACAGCAGGCACTTCTCAGCTAGATTCTCTTTTGCAACCCAAGGATGTGCATCTTCCTACCCTTCTTGTCTCTCTTGAGTTCCAAGATCCCTATTCAGTGTTGTGTTGGGAGATCCCAGGCCAGACATATTCACCTGCCCACATACCTCATCTATGTGTCTCAGTCATCCACTGATTAGATATTTTTTTTGGCTTATGTGGAGCTGAGGAATGGAACCCAGGGCCTCATGCATGCCAGGCAAGCACTCTACCACTGAGCCAACCTCCCAGCCCCCACTGATTAGATTTTTAAAGAATATAACCACTTAGATTTTTAAAAAGTATTGTTGAGGCAGTCTCAAACAAGTGCCAAGCTTCATGCTTGTGACATGAACTGACTGCTAGTGTCTCACTCTGGCTACCAGTTGTGATTATCCTGCTTCTACCTCTCAAGAGAAAAAAATTACAGATGTTTGCCACTGTGCCTTACTAAGTATTATTTTTTATGTGTATATATGACAATCCTGGGACTTGAGCTCAGGGCCTGCCACTAGTGCGAGCTTTTGAGCTCAAAGCTAGCACACCACTACTCAAGCCACAGCTCTACTTCTGGATTTTTAGTAGTTAATTGGAGATGAGTCTTGTGGACTTTCCTGCCCAGGCTAATTTTGAACGATGATCCTCAGATGTCAGCTTCACAAATAGTTAAGATTACAGGCATGAGCCACCAGTGTCCTGCTAAGCATTATTTGCTTAAACTGTCTCATTTTTCAGAAGGCTAGGCATCAATCAGAGAGTTTTTAAGTTGAGTTTATGGACAAGAGTCCACTTGATCCAGAAATCTGGAGATCAAGAAGTGTCTCAAGAATACTCTTTCACTTCTATTTGTAATGACACTTTTTACCTCTGTCACACCTATTTGGAAAGCCTGACTTTGACTATCTGTTTTCTGCCACTGTGACTAATTTGAACAGAGCTGATGCCTTGCTATATAGTGCAATGATTTATTGTGTAATTGTTATAAATAAGCTACTTACTATCCTTTGAGAACATGAATACTACTTGAGTGAAATCCCTTGGTATTTGTCATAGGAAGATACAGGTCTAAAGACCTGCTGCTCTAATTTTTTAGAGCAGAAGGAGACACACACAGAGCACAAGTTTTGGCTCTGAAGATATCAGCCTGGAAATGGAAGCAGTCCCATGCTGAGCACCTAGTACTTATATTCTCCATCTCTTCAACCAGAGTCCCAGGTCCCAAGACACAGGTTCTGGGGGAGGAGATAATCACAGCTGAGACCAGAGAGCAGCAAATACATGTCACAGACACAAGGCCTGACACTCAGCTAAGGAGCTCTCACTCCAGTCTTCCACAGTGCGCAGGGCAGGAGCTTGATCCAGGAAGGACCTGAGTCTCACAGAGTCCAAGAAAGAAGGTTCCTTCAGGGATCCCTTAGTCAGGCCCTTGAGCAAGCCTTGAGGAATATTGCCACTTACCAAAGCATCTCTCTGCTCAGCAGCACGGGTTCTCTGCTTACACAAAATGAGTGTGTCAAGAGCTGGGTGGGGAGCCATTCATGCCAGTGTCCCCTTATGTCCTGTCCCCTCCCTGTGCCACTAAACCCACACAGCACTAGCTCTCACCTCCAAGCTCCCAGGTCATCCGGGGTATGGATACAAATGCCACCACCGTCCCAAATTCCACCACTAATGCCAGAAGCAGCCCTCTGATGGGGCCACACATTCTTTTGGGGTAGAGGTCCACATGTGGTGTGTCTTCAGCAGGCAGGCTCATGGGAGGAGGAGGAGGAAGCTGCAGGAGTTGTGCAAGTGCAGATGATACACACAGCAGTCGTGCTCAGAGCTGGCAAGCAGTAGGCTCTCCAAGAACCAGATATCTCTGGCTAGGTAAGAAGTGGCCTCTCTCTCCTCCTGCGCTTTGAAGACCCCTGTTGCTTCCTTGTGGTCTGCAGAAGAAACACTGGAAGAGGGAAAGGCAAAATCAAGTGTCAGGATGTTAGGGCACACACTGCTCTGGCTTCTCAGCATCCCCTCCCTTCTCTGCCACCTCTCTTGCCACGGTCCATCTTCTGAGACATACAAATTGCCAGATGGGACAAATGAACAAAGACAGAGGACAATGCCAGAGTCACAGGACTCAGGACTCATTCCCACTTCCACCTGGCCAGCTAACACTGCAGGTCATTGCAGTTCAGACTCAGAGACAGGCCTGATGCAGGCTGTGGAGGCACTGCTTAGATAGAAGTCACCAGGCAAGGATCTTCTTCTTTCCTACAGGGGGCAGCATGTGGCTGGTAACCAAACACACACAGAAGGCCTAGAGGCTGTGTTTGTTGCTCACAGAGCTCTAAGCTTCCCACTTCCTGTAATGTTAATCCATGTGGAACTGGCAAGAGAGACCAGAGAAACACAGACCTGAAGTACACACATGCACCTGGACAGATTACAGCAATGCACACAAACACGTGTAACACGTATGAATGTTATGTACATACCTAAACATTTACACTGTGTGAGAAACAGACCACTCTAGGTGACACTTACAGATCTTCAGCCTCACCAAGAAATGGTGGTGCTCAATTCTCATGAACCAAAATCAAACAGCACCAGGGCCACATTACAAGTCTAAATCTGGCCTGTTTAGAGGAACCATGGCAGGCTGGGAAAAGGGTGCATTGTCTGACCTGCACACCCATCTCATGGGTTAATCTGCTCACCCATGAGCTACCACAGGCTATCCCATCTCTATCTCATGTGAGGATAAGCATGCTGAAGTCAGGAATACTCCTAATCCTTGTTCCCTCCCTAACCTGGAGGTCATTTTTCTCTTTTCAGGTTTTGTCCTAATCTCCCAGTCCTTATAGCCAGAAAGTAGTCCAGATTAGACTCAGACTGCCAAGCTCTCCCAATAATAAAGCCCAGATACCTCACATCAAGGGATAATGCCAACCTGACTGGATATACAGCAGGAAGTCAAGAACTGAGGTAAGAAAGAGAGGGATAGCTTTTTAATCTCTGGGGTCAGCATGGCCCTTGACTCTACTTGGCCAGATTCCTCTGTCAATGCAAGAGCTTGAGAAACAGGAGGTCCTGGGGTGCAGCCACATAATTCTCCGGACCCCAAGGGCCTTCCTCCAATCCTAACCTCCACACTGCCGAATAAAGGGTAGGTGGCCAGAAGAGTGTACTCTGCTTTGTTTCACAGACTATCCACTGAGGTGTTGCCTAAGCCACACACACACACACACACACACACACACACAGATACCCAGACACAGACACACTCACAAACAGCACCAGGGTGACAGGATCACCATGCAGCATGGGCATGGCTGTGAAAGAAACTATGGGGGAAAAGGCAGGAAGCTTTCTGGGACCAATTCCACATGTCTTTATTGTGCCACCTCCAAAGGCAAAGCTAAGATTGCTGATTATAAAATAAATTCCTAATAGCCTCCTCCCTTCATGGTCACTCTGTCTCCAGGGAGAAGCAGACATGTGCATCCCAGCCTGAGATATGAGGATAGCCAACCTGAGAGGCTGAGGGTATGTGGTACTACCTCTAACCCTTTGCAAATCTCCTGAAATACAGTAATGATGCGAGAATGCTCCGGATACCCTCCAGCTTGCAAACACTAAGACCCAATAATCCCAGCCATACAGGGCCCCATGGCAAGGCATCAAAAGTGGCAAGGAACATGGACAGTGGGCTGTCTCCACCAAAGCCACAGTGTCCACCAGCCTGTGGACCGCTGGGGAAGATGTGTCACACACTAGAAACAAGCCACCATGGTTCCAACAGTGAACTTCATCACCGCTGAGGCCTTCTTAGGCCTGCAAGGACTTCAGGCCTCTGTGGCACATCCCACGCACATGGAACTGCATGTGGAGCAGACCACTATCCCTCATGTGGGCTCCAGCCACTGGGACTGCTGGAGCCTCTGCTCTCCTGCTTGTGTTCTGAGCTAATGCCTCCTGTTTAGCCAGGGGCCCCAACCATTTCTTCTAAGGATACCCACCTGTACCACGTGGTGTGGTGATCTATGTTCTGTGGGGCTCCTGGTCTCTTTTACATGGTGTGGATGGGCCCATTTCACCAGGGTGCCAAACCTTCCTCCACACTTGGTCCTCTTGTGTGCCACCCCTACTCCAGCCCACCTGTGCAGGGATGAGGATGCTTCTGCAGCCCTCCCCCCCTCCCCCATGGTTGTGGCACAGGTAATGCTACTTTTAGTGAAGTGAGAGTACCTTTACCAGTTCCTTGGGAATACAAGGCAAGATTCCAAAATCGGGCCAGCTTGACCAGGGGTCATACCCACGACCCAGTGGGAAGGGGCCTGAGCCAAAAGGAGGCTCTGTGTCACAGTCACCTCCGCAGATGTGCACACTTGAGAGGAGCAGCTGCTCCAGCACATGCTCTATGCAGGCCTAGGCTTGCCTCCCTCCTGGCTAACCAAGATGCCAGGTTCCCTCTGACTGTTGACTGTCAGCTCAATTCACCCATTTTCTGCACATACTCTATGTGTGTCACTTTGACAAGTTTATCAGAATTTCCCTCCAGAGCTCCTGGGAACCACACCCTGATCATCCCAACATGGCTCATTATCTTGAGACTCTGTTCTTTACTTATTTTGAGTCAGGGTCTCTCTATGTTGTCCAGTCTGGTTCCAATTCCTGGGCCCACATGATCTTCCTTTAGGCTTTCTTACTAGCTGGGATGACAGGCATGTGCAATGACTTCTTAACCACTTTCAAACCAAGCAATGTTTATCCAATTAATAGCTCACTGCATAGTCACTGTATAGAATCGGATCAGTATCACTAGAACACTGAAAATAAAGTGTCAACTGCCATCTATCTGTTGCCATCGGGCAACATCTAGCTTAGAATGTCTAAGCTTTTCCAAAGCCAGGAACACCCGGTTTCCCTTTGCTCCTCTGCTAATATCTGCGTACTTTGCCATGGTGATAGTTAGAATTTCCATCAGTTTCTAGTTTCCAAATAGTAAAACAACCTTCATAGCCTATGATGCCAAGCCTACCCTGAATTCCAGGCTGGTGAACTGTAATCCTATTAGTAATCTCATGATTACTAAGTAATCCTATGTATCCTATGTAATCCTATGAGCTCACTAAACCAAGCATGCTACCCATTTTCTGGACAGTTCAAAGACTTTTCTTTCTTCTTGACGTCAGTATAGGAAGTCAGGTGAGACAGGGGATAAACTCAAATGATAAAGTTACAACCCGGAGGGACACTTGAGTCTGCCCACCCCGTGCTGCTGAACATGGTGCCAGAAAATGATTGGCACAATCTAGTAATCAGCTCCCTCATTCACAAACTGGTGACTCCAAGGCAGAAGAAAGCCCATAGAGTGAGTTCTGCTCACCTCCTTGCAGAAATAGAACCACAGAACAAGATCCCTCCCTGAGTCTCAGAGACTCCTCTGTATGCTGCAAAAGTAAAAGGCCCCACCTTACCTCACTGCATTGATAACCCGAGGCTCCAGTTTGTGGAAGCCCAGATCTTCCAGTGATGTACCTGGCCTGAAACTCTGTGGCTGAATTCACAGACTCTGTGTGTGAATGCCTGTAGACTAGCAGCCCAGGACTAGCATCTGCCAGAGGGCCAGCAATGGATGGCCAGTTGATGAAGTTTCTCTTTTTCTGAACTACCTGTTTCAGAATGTGTTAGTCACAAGGGGAGTAGCGAGCTAGTGAGTCACTGTCCTTGAATACTAATGTACAGTGTATAGTTATCTTTCTGTTCCTGAGGTTCTTACAGGCTTTAAGCCCATTGGTGTATCTCCTTCTGGGAAGGAGGGAAGTGGACTTACTGAAGGGAGCAGAAAAGGAATGATATGTTGGCAAGGCAGAACTGTCACCTCCAATCAAACCATGTAAAAGTGATATAGACAGGTTGCAGTTACATAAGTCAAATAGTGAGTGCATTTCTTTTTCTTCCCTCATTTTCTGCCTTTCTTTATATACACACACCAAGCAGATAGTTAAGCACCTCCCTAAGGCTCTACCCTCTTCATCCCACTGGTCACAAATAGGCTTTTGGGACCTGGTCTTGAACTCCAGAAGCACTAGACCCATGGGAAGTGATGGAATGGAAATTGAGAATGACATAATTCTCTTGCTGTGGGACTCCCATATTTGGGTGACTGGGCCTGGAGTGTCTTGTTCTAGAGCAAGCATGTGTCCAGAAGTCCAGAGGCACCAGCCCTGCTGAGGGAGGTTACTCCTTCTAGGACTTATCCATATTTTTTCAGCCTCATGTCATTGCCCCTGGAGTACATCCAAGAGCACCCCAGCCAGCACAGAATGCTAGCTCTTCCTCAAGGATGGCTACACACCAGTCAGCCCTGGGGGTCCCTGGATCCCTTCTCCCTCCCCTCCACCCCCACCCATAAGGGGCTGCCTTATTCCTCAAGAACCCTGCACATTCTCTGCTGAGATAGCACTAACTTCCTGCCCTCTCAGGCTGGGAAGAAGAGTAACGTGGGCCACCAAAGACATCCACACCAGTATCAGTGAAGGGAGCAGATGGTACACATCTATTAGGTATGTAAACTTCTTACAAGGTTCCTTCAAGCATCTCTAGGAGCCAGCATCACCCCTATTTTGAAGATAAGAAAATCAAGGCATGGCATCTTCTAAATGTCCATTAGTATTAAGCAGTGGGCAGGTCACTGTGACTTATCTGCATCTTACCCAGGGCTTACCCTCAACACTACTGCAGGCCTAGGAATCAGACATTCTCAGGCCTACAACAGAGACAGGTCTAGATAAGCAAATCAACTCAACTCTAAAACACATCTGGGTTGGAAGAGGCTCCTTTGAGTCTTCAAAAAATGCAAGCTTGCTTCATGTTAGGAATCATGAAATACTATAAAGAGCAAATTTCTGACCTTGGTATAGCCATGGTGGCACAGGCATTGCCAGCTGGGGAATA